TACCAAGTAGTAAAGCAGTAAGGTGAAGGATGAGGAAAGAAAGGAGAATCGATCGAAAATAGTAAAAAAGAGGAAGAAGGAATAAGAAAATGTTGAATTCAGTGTGATGACCAAGATGAAAATAACGTGTAGATACATCTGCACCACTGACATCGATTCTAAGCTACTTCACATAGAATCTCCAACCACTGGTTTTTGTAGTCATATGGACGCTAACCGGGAAGTCTGCATCTCCCAATAAGGCTCAAATTAACAATCAAGTGCTTCATGCACTGACACCATTTCTTAGCCTGGTCACCCTGAAGCTTCTTCCAGCCTGAACCTACTTCAGGTAACATCGCGCGACGAAGCAGACAGTGGCTATACATGCCCAATACATATCCCAGCCATCTCAGTCGATGAAGGTTCATGACCTCATCAAGTGACTTCCCTCCTCCTCAAAACTCTACCCTTCTGCATTACTGACATGGTGACACCACGAAACACGGTATATGCTACGAGGGCAACCGTGGTCAAACACCAGAAGCCTTCTTATATCCTCTACCTTTAATGACCATGTTTAATAGCTAGGCAGTAGGACAGAGCGAACTGCAGCACAGTACATTCGACCCTTAATAGATAATTGGATATCACGGTGGCTCGACAGATAGCATGAGTTAACGAAAGCCTGCCGAGCTTTTTGTACCGGTGCAGAGGTTTTCTCAGTCACTGACCCGACTTCACAGGTAAGTGAAGTGTTCAACGCACCCAACCAATTCACTCCTTATTGTCATCCAGAGGACCGCTGAACATCAGTTCTGGAGAAACAGTTTGTATTTAGGTGGCGAGAAATGCATCCCAACCATCCTCCAATTGCGAATCAAGGTGTCCAGAAGTCTTTATCTTCTCAGGGTCGTCACCTAATATGACTATGTCGTCTGCATACTCTAGATATGCCAAGGATTCTCCTGCCTTTAGATCGATTCCTGGATGGCCAGATGACAAGAGGGACACCTCCATAAAAGTGCCTATGGTAAGGAATGGAGAGCGTGGACATTTTTGATAGGCACCACTTGATGTTTACAGGTCACACAATAACTCACATTGGGCTACAACATGCCCACAGGTGTTCGAGTAAATAGCCTTCAACAGAGTGATGTAGTTATTCGGAACCCCTTTAAGTCAGAGACGCTGTCATAAGAATTCCTGGTCGGCAGAATCGAAAGCCTTCTTCAGGTCGGGAAATGCAGCTGGTGTCGGGCGTCGAGAAGTGTGCCTGTGTTCCAGAACTTGGCGGAGTGTGAATATCTGGCCGATAAACCACGGTCAAGTCTGAAGCCCACCTGACTTTCTTACGTTTACTGTCCCCGAGTCCCACTCACACATCCGGTGATTATATAACCTAGAATCCTAGGAATTATTTCCATCAGGTTGATTTCTCTGTGGTTATCACAGGGGGACTTCTCTCATTTCTTGAAGAGTGGGGTAATCGGTGATCGAAACCAGACAGAAGGGATCATGTCTGACTCGCATACACTAGTTAACATTTCAGTTAACTTGACTAAAAATCCTTGATCACCGTCCTTAAATACTTGTGGGACTAGTCTTCCTAGTCCTGCTGCTTCTTCTTTCTTTTTGACTTCTGCATATGTTAGGGGTCCTATCTGGACTTTCTATTCAGGATGCAACTTGATAGCGAGCAACGGAATAGTAGCTGGAGGATGTTTGAACTGTTTCTGGGAGCTTTTCGCGCATCGTTACAATTGTCTCTCCTGTGGGTAAGTCACAGACTCATCTTTCTCCGCTACAGTCTCGAGACCCGCTGGTCTTTTTGCTGTAGTTTCCTTGATAAATCTAAATAACTGTCTACTACTACCTAGCCCCAATCGCTGACTTTTACGTGTGTTTGGCTTTCACTGTCCACCACAGTTCGTGATCATTACGTAGATTTTTTAGCAGTTTACATTTGAGTTAGGTTCGTCCATCACTATACCGGCAGACTACAGGGATGCATTGGTGTGCATCGATCAATTCAGAAGACGCTTCTTAGATTAACCACTCTCTGAAAGTCGGTTGTGGTCTTCATTGCTATTTTTAAAGTAGACTGGAGAAGGCGCCAGGCTTCTTCCGGATGATAGGTGTTTTTCTGTTCCGATAACTGTCTGTCCAGTTACTAGTTGAAGGTAGCCCCAATATTCTCATTGTCGAATTCATAGTGTCGTTATTACCGTAGTTTCTCTACGTCTGTTCAGACGCAGACATACAAGTACTAAAACCAACACTCGGTCTCTGTCTTAACATTATCGAGGAGGAGCTACTCCAGCGATAAGTGGTAGCAAAATAATCTGTTTGTGTCCACCGTTGAGTTAAGGTGGGTGGGAGCAACGTCAGACGATGTTTGTGTTCATGTCTGGAGTTCGTGCTGGCCAGAAATAAATGGTCGTCTGAGCACAGTTGTTGCAGACAATTGCCGTTACCTGGGATTCCGAAAGTACCACTCATATGCATTTCCGTCCGAATTAGCCTAACCACTTGTGCACTGAAATCACCTGCTACAACTACCACGTTTGAACGGTTGAATTTCAGTAGCAGGCTAGAGAATTTTTAGTAGGACTGATCTTTCACTTCATTTGGTCTGCAGACTTTGGGTGCATGAGGAAAGATTACAGAGAGATAACGGTGCGTTTCACTACTGTTTTTATTCCTCCTTATTGTACCGTCCTGTTGAACAGCACATAGGCAACTGTCAACTGGGATTTAATCATGCAGTGAACTTTCCGCCTTAGCACTTAATGCTATGTCTACATCTGCAAAACCGTGAGAACTAGCCATCAAATCTCCAGGATCTCGAAAGGTTAATTTTATGGGCTCACCATATTGTACTGGTGACATTAAGTGAATAGTCGCACCTGGTTCCTGTATGGGTGTATCACAAGTACAGCACACATCCATGGCCCGATTTGGTAGATTTTTGGATAGTGAAGCTTGGCCGATTTGACGGAGTTTGCGGAAGTTGAAAGCATTGATGCGCAATTTGGAGTTCGGTTTCAGGAGATGCTGTTCTGTGAGGGCTGGTAGGAAGTGGAGATGATGTAGAAGTATCGACCGAGAAATATGAAGGAAGATTTGAAGATAAGGACGTTTAAGTTGAGTTGTGATCTGAGAGAACGTGGGTACTGACACAGTTGTGAGGGCGCTTCACACTTCTCTGCTGCTTACACCGCGCAAGGCTATGTCTTCTTGAGGGGAGTTAGTGCGTGGTCGCAGACCCATCTGTTTGAAGCTGGTCACACATTGCCTTTTCGCAAGTCTGAGATTTTGGCTTTTTGCTTCCGAATCTGACTATGAATCCTTATCTCAGGATCTACATGCCGCAGGGTGATAGGGGTGTGCTATTTTCGAGGCCGACATTTTCTACCCCATCTTTTCTTAGGCAAGGCAGCATCAGCATGGTACTGGCGTTCATTCAAGGGAAACACTTTACTGCTGTCACACCCCCATCCAGCCGGTAGTACGACTTCACCCTCTGATCCCCATCATAGCGTAGTAATATACATTGTAATGGTAATTGCTTTTTGTCTTACCACTATCCAACAGACGTCTCCGGTATTGCAGGACCTCGAGGCAACAAGTATTCCAGCTAGTATAGCTCGTTGGATCATTTTGCTATGCGAAGGCGACCACCACCTTCAGGTAGCAGCTGTCGGCCAGAAACCCGTACCGCCCGGTGTTACAGTCAGGGGTGTGACCACTGAGCCATTCGGACCGCGAGTGACTTTCTGTAAGATTAGGTGCTTTAATTGGTAACTGGAAACAACCACGAAACCTAGGTCTAGATCTTTCTGTTGGTTGTCTCCAGTCATGTAACGTTAATCGAAGCGCACGGTGATGCGTGTCAATTTTGTTGTAGTTTACTTTTTTGTCCTACATTTGCAGTAAGCAAGTCATCAATATATGAGTTATCAGATGGTTTTTTGCTGTTGAAATAGTTCTGCATATCGTCACTGTTATCATTTTCATATCTTACAGTTTTCTCTTCTAAATCTTCGAGTCCCTGTCATATATTTTCAGGTTGCATCTTTTTTGATACTCTGTTGCACTAAGTCTTGCACACTTCATTAGCAACAAAACCATACACAAAAGTTGATTAATTCAAGTGGCTACACTTTTTAACAGCATATAGCAAGAAAATTCCTGAAGGCGAAAAATTCGGATGAAAGAGAAGGACATGAGTAGTAGGTGAACGGATAAGTAGTAAATATCACGTTTGAAATTTCTAGAATATGCTGAATGCACAAATCTATGCCAATATGATATACTTCAAAGCTAATCCTAGAATTACTTAATGTAGTCGTCCGCAGAGTTTGATCGTAGCTATCACCAACTGTATTGATTCGTAAATCTGACATGATTTTACCTGCACCCTAGTATATTTACCATACCATGATGGTATAAAGCAGATTTTGTTGTTCAGACAAAGATATCAAGTCACTAATCATTGGTTACAATCGTGTAGTGTAGGCCTACTGCTGGTTGTGGCCCATAAGACAATTAGAATGTATTGACAAAGATTCTAAGTGAAATAACTCAAAATTGATGGATTCTTGTATGCCTTACCTTTACATAAACCTTTGTATCATATCGTCAGCTGACTTATCTCTATCCCATTTTGTTCGATAGCGTTTCAAGACGGGCCATATAATTATTTTCACTTCCTTAACTTCATTGTTGATGTGTTACTTTGCAGAGTGGCAACTTTGATTGATATACCAGGTCTTAGGCTGCTTATGAATACCTGAACTCGATAGTGAGTACTTCTATAAAATGGCTTGTTGAATGACTTAGTACATCAACTAGCCACTAATTTTTGAGGCAAAAGTAGACATTTATACTCATATATTCTATACAGAATGTATTATAACATAAATTTGTTCATATTCTCTTCCTTTCGTCTTTAAATATAACTTCTGAAGAGCATACATAGTAGCAATATGTGGTCATCTCACGTACTTCTCTCTTTTTCATTTCACACATTGTTTTGTGAAGAAATTTCGCATTTCTTTCAATGTTTTGCTTACACTTTCAGATTGTTTGAATTTATGTGTTGTTTTCAGTTGACCAGCTACATCTTTAATACCTTGATGTAGCATACACAATGGTCGACTTACCAATGTCTCATACATTGTTTTCAATGTATCCATATATATCCCGTAGTTTACTGTTGTTGTTGTTGTTTCTTTTGGTATAATCTGCTGATGAACAGACGTCTTTATGTACTGTTTGTTCTCAATGTCATCAGCAATATTATTCGATTTCTTTAAGGGTTCATGACTATCAGCTTCTTTTCCAGGGGCATTTGTTAAATTTTCATTATGAAATCTTTTAGGATCGCTAATTAATTGACGTGCCGTAAATTCCGTATTTACGCACCTCCATCTTTCTGCCCATTGAATAAATGCACTTTTTTCATCGTCCTTTCTTTGACTTTCATCACCATATGCGGTTTCACGTCTTATTGAAATGTCATCACATGACCTTGGGCACAGTGAACTTGTAAATTGTCTTAGAATAGCATTTTTCCTTTGTTGTGATTCTCCACCGAGTGATTCATACTTTTCAGCCTTATTACTTCGTTTTTGTAGATTTTGTAATAAGAAACACTGAGGTGTATCTGTTTTTGAGGTTGATAAATACCTTTGTTCTTCAGTTATGCATAAATAAAGGCATGACTTTTTCCACATTTCTACGCTGGATTCCAGACTGTTAGTAAATTGGGTGTGATCCCACAGTGTATGTGGTTCAAGTGTCTCAGATAGTACAGTTAACCAGTCGGTTAGGTTATTTGTCGATTTTCGTGACGTTTGTGTGACATGAGCTAAGCCATTTTCTGAAACTTGTATATTACCTAGAGTGGGATAACCTAAGTATGTTAGTTCGGTGACATTTTTATGCATCTTCTTTCTTGTTGTTGTTGGTGTGCGAGATGACTTACTAGTTGATCTAGCAACTGATAACATAACGCGCTTGTCTCATAAATACATAATGGCTGATTCAGTGAAAACTTTGCTAAAATTTTTGCTAGGCTTATTGGATTTGTTACGATATTATTTGCCTTGGCAACATTACAAAACATACAGTTTCACTGCATTGAGTTAATAATCAAGAGCTAGATGAGTGTACATTCACATAGAATTATGTTCATTATTTTTTCAAAAATGGATCGATAAAATTTATTGATCAGTTAAACTAGGCGAACTAGTGAAGATGAAGATAATACATAAAGTGCTTTTTTAGTTATATGTTAATATTGGATAATGGCCAGCAGTAGAATCCAGGACGCGTGTTTCGTCCTGTTTTGGGTGTCATTAGCCGGATATACCTGCATTCCAGTGAGCGGTATTGTTCCCACTAATCAACCTAAACGCCAGAGCGTTATCCAATCAGCTATTGAGTCTTTACCCACCGCTGGTATAAAATTGAAACACAGGCAGTATCGAGGCATCCGTGAAGGAGTCCATATACCAATAAAAACGGATCAATTCGATCTAATCAATGACGGAATAATAGAAGTAACAATGTTGTTTTGTTTTCTTATGCCTACGTGATTCAGAAAGTGACCTAGTAAGCATTCAATATATTTTTCAAGGTTCTTGGGTTATAAGTAATCTTTGGAACATCAGTGTGACTTTATACAATAAATATTATCATCACCAGGTGTTTAATTCGGGATTTAAATGATATATCAAATTTCATCATTCGTCAAAATGACCATATTGGAGTTGAAACTAGTCGTTTTAATTATGTGTTGGGTGTAGTTGGAATCACGGAGACGGTTGATACTTACTGGTTGTTCACACCAGGAAAGTTACATAAATTCTCGAGTTATTTAAATGAGAATGTCGATTAACTTTGAATGACCGTAAATTCCAGTGGATGGCTATACGATGTCTGTTAAATACTGCCAGCCTAAGTTTATGAGAGTTTCTAGATTCGTTTTCATGCCTAAAGAACTTTATCGTGAGCAATGGAAAACCGTGAGACAAGGAAAGAGTATGATTTTTTTGTGATAGAATTTTTCTAAGTCTCCCTCTCATAGTGCACAGTTAGTGACAGCTTCGAATGCTGGTTATCATCAAGGAACACCTAACTGATGTCATTGAAGTATGAATTAGACTACAGACATCCAACATAGAATAAGTTATTAGCACTATGGTGTTAGTTACTTTCAGTTATATCGCTGACCAATAAGCATTTCTTGTAGTTTTAGTCCTTGAACAACAACCTTCGGAAACATAGCTTGTTGAGTCATTACCATATACAAATACGGTCACCATATCTAAGTAGCACCAGCTGTCGATCAATATTTTTTCTCATTAGACCCATCAGGTTTTATCTTAGCCAATGCAATAGTATATATGTAGGACCTGGTCGGTATCAATCAGAGTATCAACTACCGATTAAAATTGTTTATCTTTTTGCATTCTGTTGCTTAGATCAGTCTTAAGTAAAAGGCGAAATGAATTATAATACGAAGAAATTCGCACAAATAGATACCAATAATGAAGGCATCTGCAGATACGAGATCTAAACTAAAAGCTTCGAAGTTAATTTTTTATATAATAGCACAGAGTATCTTAAAATTCACACTCCTGCAACTGACTAGAGGAATGGATCATTTTTAATGCCTTAAAATTCTGAGAATTACCATTCTGCCTTACATACGTTGGACTATCTGACAATGTGTTTATGGGAAAACACAAAGTGTAAAACAGAATATTTTATCTTCCATGAAGATGTTCAGTGAATCAGTCAAAATGCTTAACAGACATTTTATGGGTTGACTGAAATGTGGGCAATTTTCTACTGAACAGCTTATGGTGATAGCCATCAGAACTAGAAAAGCATTCTAATTTCTGAATATTTCAGAGCTGTGAAAGAACTATGAGACAACTCTATTATTATTATTATTATTATTATTATTCTCCTCAGACCTGACAAAGGCTCGGGTGTCGTGATCATTGAAGTATAAAATATCGTCTATTCTTGAAGACGAAAGTAAATTTACTAAAGATTGCTCTTCAGAAGACGTACAGTTGTTACACGGAAAAGTGAAACTGCTCGGTATGAACGTTTTTACTACACAAAAATTTGATTAGTTGGAACCAAAATATACAAATCCAACAACCCGTTACGTTATATAATGTCAGTATACAAGTCGCCGACGCATAAGCTTGCCTAATGGCTATTGAAACTAATAGATCCCGTTAAAAAATGATTCTTTAAGTATTCCTTGCAAGATACATTTGAAGTAACCAGAAACCTTTATGATATCAACATGAAAGTACATTTATGAATTCATTTGATGTTAACTCACAACTCACCAATGTCTCTTTGGTCAATTTATTATTCTTCTTCTTAATATTATTATTTTTCCCTTGGGTTCCTAATGGAACATAGAGCTTCAGTAGCACGTCTCCATTCCACTCTGTTCTCTGCAATCTTTTGAACCTGGCTCCACGACAGTCCACAAGCTCTCATTTCTTCCTCACACCATCTCATCCATGTCACCCTCGGACACCCAACTCGTCGTTTCCCATCTGGGTTTTACTCGAGAACCTGGCGCGTGATGTCCCCGAATGGTCTTCTCAGTGCATGCCCAACCCACCTCCACTTCCTTCTGCATATTTGTTGGGTGATAGATTCTTGGTTGGTTCGTTGCCAACCAGAGTTCCTTGTTGTTTATTCTTAGTATTCTGGCCATCTGATCTTCAGTAACGAGCCAGCGTAGGCAGTTGTTGATGAATATCTGTAGTTTGTTGGAAATGCTTTTCGTGACGCGCCAAGTCTCTGAGCCATATAGAAGCACTGACTTACTTGACATTAGTGTTGAAAATCCGGATCTTGTTATTTATGCTGAGTGCAGAAGATCTCCACACTGGTTTCAGGTTAGTGAACGCCTGTCTTGCTTTTCCGATCCTGGCTTTGACGTCTTCGTCTGTGCCGCCGCCTGTAGTTGGAACGATGCTGCCTAGATAGGTGAAAGAGGCTACTTCCTTTAAGTTTCTCCTGTTTATGGTGATTGGAGTTTGTTGTTGTTGTTGGTGGTGGTGGCGTTAGTTGGGTATCATCCTCACCTCTGTCTTCTCTATATTCACTTGAAGTCCCGTCTCCCTTCGCTGCCCTGCCTCTTCTGTCAACTTGTTAGTTTTTGCTTGTAGATCTTCGAGTTTGTGTGACATCAGACACAAGTCATCGTTGGCGAAATCCAGATCTTCTAGGTTCTTTTCCGCAGTCCAGCACATCCCCCTCTTCTCGCTCCTCACAGTTTGTTGCATGATCCAGTCGACCACAATCAGGAATATCATGGGTGATAGTAGACAGCCTTGTTTTACTCCTGTCTTCACTTCTAAGGCGTCGCTGTTTCCCATTGTGAATTACTTGGCATGTGGCGTCTTCATATAGTTGTTGAATGAGGCTGATAAAGGTTTGTGGTATTCCGTAGTGTTGAAGCAGTTTCCAAATTACCTCTTGGTCGACGTTGTCAAAGGCCTTTTCAAAGTGGATGAAGTTGAGGTAGAGAGTTGACTGTCATTCTATACTGTGTTCTATGATGATGTGTAGCGTAGTGTTGCAATTGATCCGCACATGATTTGTTCTTCCTGAAGCCAGCCAGCCTGTTCTGGTCGTAATTTTGAATGCAGCGCATCCTTTAGTCTCTCCAGGATGATGCGGCTTAATATTTTGCTTGGTGTGGACTGGAGCATGATTCCGCGCCAGCTCTTGCAAACACTTAGGTCTCCCTTCTTTTGGAGTTTGAGAAGGTAGCCCTTCTCCCAATCAACCGGCAGGTACCTTTCCTTCCTTCCTTGCAAACCTTCTGCAGTAGTGGTGTGAGCATGTCCGCCGCTGTTGTCTCTGCGTCTGTTTTCAGTGCTTCTGGCGGGATTCCATCTGGTCCTACTTGTTTCCCGCATTTCAGTAGCTTTATGGCGTTCAGGACTTCGACTTTCGTCGGAGGGCTTGTGTTCATTGGTAGTTCTGTGACTGGGCTGCAAGTGGTATTTCTGGAAGAAGTGCAGGTGGTGGCCGATTCAAGAGCTTCTTGAAGTGGTCAGCCCATTGTTTCCTTTGTTTCTCTTCTTTGGTAATTAGATTTCCTTCATCATCTTTTATTGGTTTCGCCTGCGTCGATCTCTTCCCAGATAGCAACCTGGTTATTTGATACAGTGTTGTCAGGTCTCTCTTACCTACAGCCTGTTCTGCTTCACTTGCCAGTGTTTCGTAGAAGTGTCTTTTGTCTTTCCGTGCACTCTTCTTCACTTCTTTGTTCAGTGTTTTATACATTGTACTCAGTTCCTCTTGTCGTTGAGCGTCTTTGCACTGGTTTATCTTCTGCTTCACCATCCTCCTCCCTCTGCTCTATCGGCTTCCAGGTATCCGTCGAGATCCATTCCTTGTCTTCCTTCTTCTTTCTTCCTAATACGGCTGTGCAGGTTTCTTTCCACACCTCTTTCAAAGACTTCCAGTGTTCTTCCACACAGGTTTCTTCAGGGATGTTCCTCGATATCTCCCATTTTGTCGTGATAGCTGACGTGAAGATTTCCTTTGTAGTTTCGTCCTTCAGTTTCCGAGTGTTGTACTTGAACTGTGGTCTATCACCAGCTTCCTTGAAGGGCTTTAACTTGATTTGGAAGGTTCCTTGCACTAGATAGTGGTGTGAGCCTACATCTGCTCGTCGTCTTGACCTTGTGTCCAGTAAGCTGCGTCTCCATTTTCTTGAGATTGAGATAAGGTTGATCTGATTTTTAGTGTGTTCTGGTGAAGCCCATGTCGCTTTGTGGATATCCTTGTGCCTGAACACAGTGCCTCCAATCACCAAATCGTTGAATGCACAGAATTCTAAAGACAATTCTCCATTCTCGTTCATCACCTCACCGAGCGCTTCTCGACCCATGGTTAGTTCTCTTCCTGTGTTGTCCCCTCCCAGTTTGGCATTCATGTCGCCCATTAGAATTTT